CCCAGGTCTTCTTCTGAAATCAAGGTGGAAGCCTTCTTAACCTCAGAACTTCTGCATTCTGAAAGCACCCAAAACCAATAGCACATGGATTATGCCAAGGTTTACTGCCAGCTGGAGCAGTAGCCAATCTTCCTTCACAATTGGCTGTAGGGCTCAAGTGCCTAGATCACTGGGCACTCTGACTATGATTCCAAGGAATGCAATCTCTATGTGGGCACCATTCTGGAACCTGATGTGGCCTCTGTCACCATTCTAGAACTTGGGGCTCCATGGTTTTCCCTTCAAGGCAAAGTTCATGACGTTTTCCATTCTGAGACCGCAAAGGAGACCTATGGCCTCCTGTGATGCCCTCAGGCCATCCTTTCCATTCTCTTGTTCCTTCCTGGCAATGGAGATCCTCTCAGCTCTATCTTCATAGACCACAGCTTCCTGGTACTTCCTTCCTGGCCAAACTCACATTTTGAACCATCCTGATGGGCTCCTTGTTCTTGATTCTCAACATAAATCTGGCTAAAAACCCCCATTAACAACCAGGTCACTCCCCCAATATTCGGTTCCTTTGAGATTTCTTTTTGCCAGATTAATCAGTCTGCCATGCTTAAACTCACTCTCAGGGAAAGTCTCTGGACAGGAGCAAAATGCAGACAATTTTTCAGCCAAGTCAAAACACAAATGACCCAGAGTCCAACAACCAATGCAGCCCATCTGATATAGGGAACCTCCAAATGACACAGGGAAAAAAACTGATCTCCCAACCTAAAAGGTACCTGGGATGAGTTTGTGTTCTCTAAAACTGAAGAATGAATTTTAGAATCTAACAGAGGTCATGAGCAGAATATATTTATTGAGGGAATAAAAGCTCCTGTCTGAGAGAGGGACAGGAGGGGTACCCGAGTAGGATGCCCCCAAGAAACTGTCTCCTCCAGGGACTTTTATAGAGGAAAACCATGTGGTAAGGTGAGTCTAAGGTGGTGGAGAAGATATGGCAACTCACTTAGGTGGGCATGAGGTGGGACAAAACTATGGTGGACCAATGAGATTATAAGCCCCATTGCTCAGGTAAAATTGATTAAATCCAGTACCAAATGAGGAAGCTAGTCACATAGCAATTGGGCATGAATACAGGACAGGGTCTCTTCCTGTTGGGGTTGGACTAGTGATTCATTTGGGCTCTTTCAAGGTGATTGATATCTATTTAGAATATCAATCCCTGATGCCCATTCCCTAGGGAAGTATGTAGCTGTCTTTCCTCTTTTGTCTTAGTCTTGAGATGTGGCTCATATGGGAGTGTCTGTCCCATCCAAGTTGCAAAGTCACCTTGTCTTCCATCTTGTCTCCTTGTGTGCCTGGCCCTGTCTGACTGCCTATAATATTTCTATCTAATTCAGCTGCATGCAACATTTCTTTCTGGCAGAAGCCTTCCCTGCCTGCTCTTTATACGCAGGCTTTCTACCAGCCTTTTGGTCTTATGAGCTCTGACCAGAATCTTTCCTACAGAAGAGCTGAAGCTGTTCCAGCTCTTTGCAAGTAGGTCTCCTAACCTTTCCTATTTCTTCCCATAAACCATTCCCAAAAACTCATAATCCACATGGTCAGGTTTAGTTACAGCAATGACCCCACTCTCCATACAAAATTCTGTCTCAGTTACTCTTCTCTCATTGCTGGGTCAAATACCCAATACTCAAAATGAGGGAAGGAAAGATTTATTTAACTCGTAGTTACTGGAGGTTTCAGCTGGATATTCAGCTGGATATTCAGCTGGATCCAAGGGAGAGTGGCACGTGGCAGAGAGCAATCTTTCATGGCAGTGGCAAAGAGCAAGAAAGCAAAATGAGGAGTAGCAGCAGCTCAAGCCTCTAACTTCTCTTCCCTCCTTACACTGAAGCAGAAATTACCTGCCCCAGGGCAGGTGCAGTATCCACACCCACAATAATCAATTTCAAACTCCAGAAATTGCCCCAGCCCCATTAGTGCACGAGGCTTTTTGGGGACACCTGTACACAAACCCTAGCACCTGCTATTAAGCTCAGTGACAATCTATAAAAATCTAACCCAAGCAGGATGACAAATGGTCCAGAGTTTAGAAATGAACTTTTAGTCACTCCAGTGGGAAAAGGCCGTGACATATTCAGGTGGTTCCTGAAGGCTAGAGGAACACAAAAGAGATAGTACATGAAATAGATATGAACATCAGCTATGCATGTGTGATCAGGTTCTAGAACAAGGATCCTTTTTGTTGTTGTTTATTATTGTGTTTTGATTTTTGTTTTAGAGACAGGGTCTCACGCTATATAGCCCAGGCTGATCTTGAACTCACAGCGATTATCCCACCGCAGCCTCCTGAATGCTGGACTAGCAGGCATGCAGTAGACTGCTTTTAAGGAACAAGGATTCTAATTGTATTTTGTCTCTGATATAATGAAAATATGCATCCTAATTATCAGATGTTTGGTAGATTAATTGTTGATTCTCACAGGAAGAACAGCACCAGCTACTTCGTCTCTATCTGCAGTTGGAGTAAAGAAATCTGACAGAATCAAGGACAGATAGATATCCTTGAAGGACATATGTTGATATGGAACAGTCTCCATCCAGGAGCAAAGCACTCTTTTTTATGTATTTAGGACAGGGTTTACAATCTCATTACACAGATTGGACTCATATGTATCCTCTTGTTTTCAGCCTCCCAAGCACTGGGATTACAGTGGCACACAGGCCACCATATCCAGTCTTAATCAAGGTCTCAGAGTGCCTCCATGGCGGGGCCGGCAGGGCACTCCAGGGATCCAAACCAGAGCCCTGTGTCCGCCTAAGCAGGCACTTTAATCTGCTGAAATATCAGGCCATCCCTACAAAGCCCTGTTTGTTCTTTGGATCTAGACAGAAGTTGGCCTTCCTGCTATAATTTGCCTTCGACAGAGACAGCTCAACAGGAGGAATTGGACTTTTTTCAGAGCTGCATGCCTGGTCAAGTGCCTCTGGGCTTTTACACTTCAGCAGAGGATGTACAAGTTCCAAGGCTCACCCAAATGGACAAGAAATGCACTAGGTGGCCAATATCAGCAGCTAGCATGTAAGAGACACCAAGAAAGGACAAGATATTGCGATTTCATAGTCAGGAACTCCTTCCGAGATTCCTGTCCTGAGAGTTGCAGGAGTGAGGACTCGCAAAAGTTCTGGCAGCTTATGCACACAATGCCTATTGACTGAGTTGTTCTCAGGATCCCATTGCTTTCAACTTTGTCATACAAAAGCCTGTAGGATAACAGCATAAGTTTTCTGGCATTTAAAAATATAACTCTTTAAAATGGTCAAGAAATCACCACGATTCATCCAGGTGGCTGACACTGACAAAAGATCTACAGGGTACTGTACATGGTTTCAGGGTAAATCCTGAGGGTATTTGAGTGACATTGTCAGATACAAAAGTTACATTATTATTTATATAGGTCTTGCTTTAAAGTGCTATTAACCATCCAGCAGAAAAGTATAACCACAAGGTATAAAAAGTAAAGTCACATCAATATGCTGAGCAGTCAATAGCTCAAATCAACAACTTCTGATAATGGCCAGTTCTGCTGATAACTTACTACTATTATGGACTGTTGGACTATATTGGCTTGTTTTGCTAAATTCAGATACTTACAGTCTTTAGACTGGCTACAAGTATGAAACAGTCCTTTAAAGACCTCTCCAAATACTGTTTGTCTAACTGCAGTGGAACACCCATCTCTGACAAAACAAAGTAAAAAGGGGGATATGTTGGGAGCCACAAAGCTAGGAAATTCATCAGATATCTGTAGGAGGGACTTAGCCCATTGCCTAAAGTAAATAAGTTACCTTACTCCTGAGATGAAATTCTTGTCTGGGTAAGATTAGCTATCAGTTGTTAGGCAACTTTTTGTCATGTGTCATTATCTTCACAGAAGTGTAAATAAAAGACCATTCTGTTGTGGAAAAAAGTATATACATATGCACACAAGAGAGTTACGATAGATATACAGTTACTTTCTCTTAGTTCATTGAGAATAAAAGCTTGTACTAATATAGTTAAGACAAAATATCATGTTTGCATCTTGTCCTCTGAATAACTAATACAAATACAACAATATGCAATGTATGGACTATTAGAGCTGGCCAAATAGCTCAGTGGATTAAAGCACCTGCTTTTTATAACTTGTGGTTACACTTTTCTGCTGGATGGTTAAGACCAAGTTAAAGCAAGCCCTTACTTTAACATTATAGATGTTAAGAAAAACTAAAGGGAAAAATAAGAGAATTAATCTATTTTGTATTTGGTCCATGGGAATGTTTATGTCAATATTTAACAAGTTGTATATCTGTGTCAAAATGTATCTCAGTTATTCTTCATGGAAATTAATTAATCTACATATAACATGTATAATAGATAATTAAGCATGGAAAGAATGAATATGTAGAGACATAAGGAAAGGAGCTGTCAAACTCTTGAACACACACTTGAATAAAACTGGTTATGTATTTATGAAAAAATTGGAGTGCGCAACACCTTTCATTTTCTCTCACTAGCAGATGTGTGACAAACACCATGAAGCATGGTCCCTCTCTCTTGACAGTGATCAGCCCGCAGGTGAGAACAGTGGGAAGGAATGTGGGACAGAATTCAAAAGACAATTTTGTAATATATGCGCCCACATCTCCTACATCTATTAAGCTTCTGGCTCCTTTTTAACTTCTACAAAACATGAAATGATCTAGTCCATACATACAGATGTAGAAACAAGCAAATTGGTTAAGAGTTTATCACTATATAGTCACATGCAAAGAAACTATATTTTCTACCATATTAGAAATAATACAAAGCACCTCAGAAAACATGCTCCTATGTTTCATCTCCCTTCTGGATCTCAGTCTTCCACAGTAGAGCTGTCTATATAGCAGCAGGACATGCAAATAGGGCCTACTTCTGCTGATAAATACCAGGCCAGCCCGGACCCTGCATCTCTGGGGAGGAGCCCAGAACTGGAAGTCCAGGGTTCTCACTCAGTGATCAGGACTGAATACGGGAGGCTCACTATGGAATTTACAAAGAGCTGGGTTTTCCTCTTTGCTATTTTAAAAGGTAATTCATGAGAAATAATAGCTACTGAATATAGAACTAAACATGAGTGGGATAAATGGTAGAGAGTTTAGACAGTTTCCTGAACAAGATGTGTCTGTTTTTCAGCTGTCCAGGCTGAGGTGCAGCTGGTGGAGTCCGGGGGAAGCTTGGTGCAGCCTGGAGGGTCCCTGAGACTCTCCTGTGCAGCCTCTGGCTTCACCTTCAGTAACTACTACATGCACTGGGTTCGCCAGGCTCCAGGGAAGGGGCTGGAGTGGATCTCAGGCATCAGTAGCAGTGGTGGTAGTACATACTACGCAGAGTCCGTGAAGGGCCGATTCACCATCTCCAGAGACAACAGCAAGAACATGCTGTATCTGCAAATGAACAACGTGAGAACCGAGGACACTGCGTTGTATTATTGTGCAAAAGACACAGTGAGAGAATGTCCATGTGCAGCCAGACAAAAATCTCCTGGCAGGGACACTGATGACCAGCAGGGGGCGATGGAGATCCACTGAACCTAGCCCAGACCCCCAAAGCAGGGGAAGACCGGGAGGGCGGAAATTGAGGATTTTCTGCAGGCCTCTGGGGTTGTCTCTGTGTCTTGGCATCACATAGCTGGAAGAGACTCAAAATACAGAGCCTGCCAATGACTAATACAGTAGTCAAAATACAAAGTTTCCTTTTTTCAATGTTTAAAATCAATTATTATAATTATAATAATTATTAATATTATTTTAATTTATGTTCCTCAGGTGCTTGCTAAGTAGCTCAGATTCATAGTGATCCTCCAGGCTCAGCCTCCCCATTGCTGGGATTACAGGCATGTTCCACCACACCCGGTTTCCGTGGCCAGCATGAGGATTAAACTAGGGTGCTGATGCTTACCAGACAGACACTTAGACCGCCGAGCTATAGCCCCATACCAAATATAAATTTTTTATATATATCTCTCTTTTATGTTATATACATTTTGCTAAATCTAGTCAACCTGAAAATATCTTGTACATTTTGAGAACTTTTGGAATATCCATTTCATTTTCTAAAAATGAAATTGTAGGTTTATTTGTCATGATGAGTGGGAATAAATGTTTCCAATTAGGAAACTAAATTATTCCTTTCACCTCCTCATGGTTTGAGTACACACGGATTTTTTCTTTCCTGGCAACAGTAGGAGACCTGCTCCCCGGGCTTAGCCCAGCACCATGAGGATCCAGGGCAACAGGAGGAGGAAGACCCACAGCCAGACTGGACGCACAGAAGCATCCAGGGGCTTTGCTGGGCTCTTTTTGTCCATGTTTAATGGCCAGAATTTTATTAAGGAATTAAAAATTAGGAATTTTATAAAATCAATCTTACCATTCTTCTTTAGTTTTTACCCTGGAAACACATATGTTCAGATTTAAAGCAATACAATGGTACAATAATGAATAATATTTAAGATAAAAAGCACTCCTGTTTTACAATATCCATGTTCTTTCCTAACTAGATTGTAATCATTTTGTTTTATACATTTTTTATTCTATGTCAATTCATCCTGTAATCCTTAATCACATGTTCTTCCTAAAATTTTATAATATATTCAGATATAACTCCATCTTTAATCATGTTATTCTGCTTTTTATGGTGTTCTGTGAAGTAAGTGTATCCTGAACAGAAGGAAATAACTTGAGACATCCAGTTCACACACATGCAGTCTTCTGAAAGACAGACATGAAGTGATGTCTTCACACATGCATGTGACATGTAACCCTCTGAAGTAGCTGTGGGCCTCATGATCACTGTCATCCTGGGGAGCTAAGTCATCTGCATCACCTCGCCCAGCTCTGCACCTCACCTGCATCCCTATCACTTCTATGCCCTGCATTCAGGAACGAGTGCTCCTGTTTCTAGTGGTGTCCCAGTTGCATGTATTATTTCCAGCCTAGGATGAGAGCCCATTGCAGGCCATCATCAGAGATGTGGCTGGAGCCACACTTTGGGCCCAAATTACTGTTTTAAGTGAGGCTCAGAAACAGAATTGGCTCTGCCAGAGACTCAGGCTGCTGTGTAGACTGCACTGACACTTGGACCATAAGATGGAGCAGTTCTAATGGTATTTGGGGTGTCACTGTCAGATAAGGTTGATGTCTGAGTCCTCTGTCAGGCCTCCATAAACAATTAAGAGCAGAGACATTTATGATTATAAAGCTAGGTTCTGCCATCATGTGCAAATAATTACTCTCCAATGGAAAGTTTGATTGTGGATGAATACTGGCCTCAGGTGATACTAAATGCTTGAACAAGGAACACCAGGTTTCACTGACCCACATACCATATAATTAGGCGAGCGCAGCAACACATCATGAAATGGAATTGGTGTATACATACTCAAGGCAGGGCAGCATCAAAGCCAAAAACAAAGTACGTAAAGAAACTGCAGTGTTGCCCATGGCCTCCCAACCCTGCTATCTAGCATTGAGTTGAGCAGCATGTACCAATGGACTCAATGAATGTAATATATGATTAGCTTCAGAGGAACAGAAGACTAGTGCCCGTTTTGTATATGGCTGTGCATTTTGAAGGCACCACACACACAGAAGGACACTACTTTGAACAACACACTATGTAGGACATTGTGCCAGAAAGAAAATATGGCCCAAATGTGACAATATAATGATTCAGGGGATAGAGCAAAAGGTTTTACTGGATTTTAGAGGACTGTAAAGCAACACTGTTTGCAAAGATATCTTATCTTGGTGGATGTAATGGGACCTTTCTACATTTTACTGATCTTATCAGATACAAAAGCTAAAATTCTTGTTACATAGGTCTTGCTTTATCTTGGTTTTAACCA